AGGACACAGCATCTTTGCCAACAAGCTTGCCAAATGGTGAAAAGAGCTTTAAGCTCAGCACGGCTGAGGAGGGAGGCTGTGCCGGAGCCGGCTCCCAGCCCCAAGCAGCCCTGCCATTCAGGCACCGCCGTGGCCCCTGCCCACAGGACCCCTGCTGCCGGTGTGCCGAGGAAACAGGATGCCGGCGTCCAGCCGGTCGCACTCGCTGGCCCCGACCCTGCCAGTCCCGGGGCCCTTCGCTCAGCGGTCTGCAGCGGCTGCAGCATGGACACCTCGTAGGGCTCTGGCCGAGAGCTGCTCTCCTGGGGAGCCCCCACCTCCTCCCAGGCCACCCTGGGGCGGCTGGGGGGTCTCTCCGCCATCCTGCAAAGTGGAGGAAAGTCGGGGGAGAAGGGGGCAGCTTAAGGGAACCCCAGCGCCACGGGGCTGCTGGGGCACAGGGAAAGATGTGGGCTGCGCTCGGGGTCTCCTCGCCAGCTCCACGCTCCTGCCCTGTCCTGTCGCTGTCTTCTCCAACACTGCAGGGCTGCGGCCACGCTGGCTATAGACGGTGCCGTGGGGTGTCACAGAGCGGGGTCACAAAGGGCCCCACTGTGACCCGCCGCCTGGGCTGGGAGGGGCAGGGCGTCCACTGCGAGGGGTAGGGAGCCAGCTCGCCATTGGCCCCTGGCTCCTCTCAGGGTGCCCCCAGGCCCCCATCTGCCCTTATGTCCCCTCAGGACCTTCCTGTACCCTCCGGCTCGTCCCAGAACCCTGCGTTCACACGCCCAGGCGTGGCCCCAGGACCTCCCTGGGAGACCCCTGCTTCTCCCGCTCCGTGTAGCGCTCTCTTCACATCTCTACACTTTCTGGCATCTCACAGTTACGTCCTTTCCCCCACTCTGAAAATCTCTCTCAGCACCAGGAAGCAAAGGATGTTTACGCCTGCTTCTCTCCTCCAGTCCCTCTTTGGGGATACAGCTGTCGATGGGACTCTTACAGGGTGTATCGCTTACCAGATGCTGTTCAGAATAGGAACCCCGAAAGAAAGATTCTCTGTCTTTTCTACACTGCCTTCACATCTCTAATCAACGCCCTCACCTACAGCCTAAGAGACAGAGAACTTGAGGAGTCGTTCAGAAAAGTCTTCTCTAAACACATGGATCCCACGGGGTTCGAAACCAAGCCCGGCTGATTTGAACATCTTCTGAGCTGCTCCTTATTTGTGCCGTTAGAGATTTCTTGAGATTTCTAAGGTGCGCAGTGGAGAGGAGAGACATTTTTGGATGGGGTCTGCCGTCTCATTGCTTACAGAATCTCTCAGTCACTTTTGTCTTCGTCAGCCTTGGCTCCAAGTGCAACTCACCGCTTTAGAAAGTGAGAAACTGCTGGAGATGGCAGACCGTGAAAGGAGAAAAGTAGTTGGCCTGGGGTGAAACTGGTGGGACCGTAACGGAAAAACCTACGAGACCAAAGATGGGCAAGTAGAGCGTCAGGATAAAAGCGATTTGCATCGCTTCTCTTTCTTGGGTTTTATTTGTCTCTCTCTTTGTTATTTTCCTTTTCAGTACAATATTATTATTTTTATTTTTACCATTACTATTACTACTATTATTATTGTTACTGCTATTGCTATTGTCATTTTATTTCAGTTATTAAACTGTTTTCATCTCAACCCACGAGTTTTCTCACTTTTACCCTTCCGATTCTCTCCCCCCATCCTGCTGGGGGGAGTCAGCGAGTGGCTGTGTGGAGCTCAGTTACCGGCTGGAGTTAAACCATGACGCTCCTTTCTCCAGCCCCTCTTCCATACCATTAACATCAGGCTCACCTCCCACACGATCCAATACATCCTCATGAACCACCACTCCCCTTCCCATCCTTTGACATAACACACAGCTAGCATTCCCTCAGTCTATGGACCACCCCTGTAAAATGTCCATCAAATGTCCACCAGATGCCCACAGAGCGTCCATTGGCTTCACTGGGTCCGTGACTCCGGGCTCCATCTGTGACGGTGGTCACTCAGGACAGGAGAGGTGCTGCGCTGCGTGGGGCTCTTGGGCACCAAAGCCAGCGCAGGGCGGAACCACGAGGTTCCCCTTGTTCTCAGGGTTCAAAGCGTCCTTTTTAGCATCTAGCCCATCCCGTCCGTGCCCAAAGCCTCCTTTTTCGGGCTGAAATCCTCGTGTTTAGGGTCCAAACGTCTCTTTTAGGACCCACGGCCTTTCCTCAGGGCCCCGGTTTCACCCTGAGGGCCTCAACCCCAGGGGCGGAGCGAGTCGCCTGGCAACGCCTGCCCAGAAGGGGGGGCGGTGACCCGGGACAGCCAATGGCCTTTGAGGAGCCGGGGGCAAGGCACGTGATTGCTCTGTGAGCAGGCAGCCAATCAGAGGAAAGCTCCCTGCAGGGAAGGGCGGGCACTGGGGTGGGTAAGGGGGAGGGACCCCACAGGCAGCCAATAAGAGCGAGCATCACCGCAGGGGAGGGTGGGCCTGCAACCAGGGCAGAGTGACAGCCCAGCTAGCCAATCCCAGGTCACATCTCAGGTGCAGGGCAGGCACTGCAGCACCGCAGCCTGACCACCTGGGGGCCAATCCCAGGCAGCATCACCCCAGGGGAGGAGACTGACAGCCCTCCCGACCTAGGCCAGTGCCGACTGTTGGGAGAAGGCGGCGGGCTCTGCCTGTGGGCAGGCCGAGCTTCAACATGGCGCCCGTGGGGCCTGCCCCGAGGCCGAGCAGCCCCCGGACCAGGTGCGGGGCCCCTCTTCCCCCCTCCCACCTCTCTCCCCTCTCTCCTCCACCCCTGACCGCCCTCCCGTTCTAGAGCGCCCCGTCTCCATGGGAGCCACCGGCTGACAGAGAGTCAGTGTCCCGGGGCCATGCAGGGGGGTCCCAGGGCCGATGCTCTCCCCGCCTCTCTCTCCACAGCTACTGCACATCATCTCCTTCCTGACGCTGCCTGACGTGCTGAGACTGGGCCAGACCTGCCGCTACTTCCACGAGGTGTGCGACGGCGAGGCCACCTGGCACCACCTCTGCACCCCTCTCTGCCCCGCCGCCATGAGCGCCCGGCCCTGCAAGAGGGCCACCATCCTCAGCCGTGAGTCCCTGCCATTGCTGGGGGCGGCGGCGGGGAGCACTTTGTCTCCCATCGTCATGTTTAGAGTCCAAAGCTTTGATTCTCGGGTTGAAAACCTGCCTTTTAGGTCCCAAAGCCTCGTTTTTAGGGTACAAACCCTCATTGATAAGCTCCAAGCCGCCATTTTAAGGTTCAGAGACTCATTTGAAGGGCCCAGAGTGTCATTTTCAAGGCCCGCAGGCCGATTTAGAAGGACCCAAGCCTCAGTTTTCGAGGCCAAAGCCTTATTTATAGGGTCCACAGGCTCATTTTTAACTTCCAAAGCCTCCTTTGTAGGGACCAAAGCCTCATGTTTAGGATTGAGTCTGCATTTTGGAGGGCCCAAAGCCTCATTTTGAGCCTCCAAAGACCCATTTGGAGTGTGAACAGCCTCAGCGTTTGGTACCAAAGCATCATTTTAGGGCACAAACCCTAATTTCAGGGTTCAAAGCCTCAATTTCATTTTCAAAGCCCTGCTTTTAAAGCCCAAACCCTCCCTTTGTAGGTCCAAACTCTCATTTATAGGTCCAAACCCCTCTTTCACAGCTCAAAGCCTCCACTGGAGTGCCCAAAGCCCTGTTTGAGGGACGGAAGCTTCCTTTTGTGGGGCCATAGAGGAGCCAAGAGGTTCCCCTCCTTTGCAGGGTCAAAAGCCTCATTTGTAGCACCTCGCCTGTCCTTTTTAGTGCCCAGAGCCTCATGGTTAGGGCTGAAATCCTCACTTCTAGCGTCCCAGCCTGTCTTTTTTGTCTTGATGTAGTTGCTAAGCCACTCTCCATGATATCTGAAAAGTCAGGGCAGTCAGGTGAAGTCCCTGGGGACTGGCAAAAGGGAAGTATTGCAGCCATTTTT